TTTGCTTGCTAATGTAGATGTACATAGCTGCAGTGTGAAGCACAAGAATCCGATTGTCGTTATGAACTTTCTTTATCTACAACAACATCCATTTAATTTTTACAAGAATGCTATCTACAGTTTAGTCTGGGCCTTCAACTTGTGACTGTGGTGTCTCTGATGGGCCAAAATGCTCAGAAGGCTGCTAGGTGAACTCTTACACAGCAGAATGTTGATGTGGGAAAGGTGTAAAAAGCTTTTCCTGTTTCCACTCGTTCAAAGGAAAGGCCACTAATAAAAGAAAGCTTTGATGTTTTCATCTGAAATTCAGTTGGGTGTTAATAAACAGAATACTTTATTGTGCTTTGACAGACAGTTGGTCATGTGTAGATATTGGATGGGAGTGAGTAGGAAGCTGAGACTGGCAGGAGCATTTTTTGATAAAAATAATTTGAAGTCTCTATAATGAAACAACCAACCAAATAAAAAACCTCATCAAAATAAAAACTCTCACTGTACCTTTCAGAGAAAGCTTGAATCAGAAGGATGAGCTACGCAAAGGGATACTTTAGACGGTCTCCAGGACAGACTCAGTTAGAATAGCTTTTGAAGTGGCAGAATTTCATACATCTTCTGTTGTCTAATATGGCAAGTGATAATTTGAGAAATCTTTTGCAGAGTTTCTGTCATTTGTTTCAAGTTATGAAGTATCCCTGAAAATGTGTAGCCTTGGAAAAGATGACTTTTGGAAGTGGTGTTGGAGGTTTTTAGACAGTAAAGGTTAAATTTCCTTAGGAGAAATGATACTAAGGATCACATACATTGTGAATGAAATTGTAGAAGAAAGGAGAAGAAAAATTAAGATAGAAAGGTGTTATTATGATCCTACTGCAAAAGGAAAGTTGAGTAGTACTGTGACAAAAAAGGTCAGGCTATGATCTGATCTCATTTCCTCGCTTGTCTCTTGGGATGTTTAATAGCTTTGCAGAAAAGAAAAGCTTAAAGTAACAATGTGTGTGTGCAAGCTTGACTACCTTTGTTTGGTATTCTTGCTCATACTGCTAACATTTGTTAGACATTTTAAGAGTATCTACTTATGATAACAAGAAAGGAGAATGGTGTGTACAGGGCCGTGCATGGATGGAAGGTTAGAGGGTTGGAGGACCCCTCCTATGAAAATAGGCTGAGAACTGGGGTTGTTCAGCCTGGAGAAGAGAATGCTCTGGGAAGACCTTGTGGAGTACCTAAAAGGGTTCCACAGGAAAGCTGGGGAGGAACTCTTTATCAGGGAGTATAGTGATAGGACAAGGAGTAATGGCATTTAATTAAAAAAGTGTATATTTGCATTAGATATTAGGAAGGAATTAGTTACTGTGAGGTGGTGAGGCACTGGAACAGGTTGCCCAGAGAAGCTGTTGATGCTGCATTCCCGCAAGTGTTTAGAAGCCAGGCTGGATGAGACTTTGGGCTACCTGATCTAGGGGAAGATATCCCTGCACATGGCAGGGCATTGGAATTGGGTGGTCTTTAAGATACCTTCCAAGCATTCTGTGATTCTATGACACTATGATGGGCATTTCTGTTTGAGACCTGGTGCAAACAGTATTCCACCTAAACCTTGTTGATTTCACCTTCTCTGGCACTGAATTCCTACTTGGACATTCTGACATAACTTTTAATAGTTTGCAGTGGGGTGATTTTTTCCAAAATATGTGTTCAGTCTACTCTAAATTTGATGTTTTTCTCCAGAACTAGTACTAAGCCTAATTATTAAGTTCTAAGTTCTATATTACTATAGATAATGATTTCAATTAGTCATGCTTCATGATGTTCTGGCTAATTTTTGAGATCAATTCTCTACTATATTGATAATCTGCACACTTGCTGGCCGTCCTTCTTGTGTTCTTGACAAACTGAAGAATGCTCTTTGTTTCTTTATGTCAGCTGTTAATGAAACTATGAAGCAGCATTAGATCTAGAACAGCCTTTTTGATCTTCATTCAATATTGTGAACCATTATAAAAAAATCTGAGTATAAACATTTTCAGCTACTTTTTTTTTTGCTTACCTGAAGTAACTTAATCTAGCCTCTAAATTCGTCTGCCTTAATGTGAAGTAGTTTATCTTTGGCTTGTTTATATGCAATGGATTTTTTCAATTGACATTTTGGTGTCTGTGACTTAGATTCCTTTAAAACAACACTAAATCTGAGGTTCTGCTCCATGTATGTACTGAAAGCTCCGCAGTCCTCACAGAGGCTGGTGGGTTCCAAACTAGCGGTTGGTTCTTCAGGTATCTTTGAACACATGCTTCCTGTTGTGCCCGTTCAACTCGTGCCAAATTACTTGCTGTGCAAGCACATTTTCCAATCTTATGAGACTATCATGTGAGACAACTTTGAGGGTCTTATATAAAAAAGTCAAAAATACTGGCTTGATTATGATTCCACAGCTGGCTTACAGTGGCTTAACTCCATTGCTTTTATGTTTCGTTTTAACATACAAACGTTCCCAGGTGTTCTGTAACTGAAGGAATATGTATCTAAAAATGCTTAAATGGCCTCTCGATAGGTTTTAGGAATTACAAATTATCACATCCGTGAGAATTTTGTGAAGTAGGATTGTAGTCTTTCTGTCTGAAAACTGCCAATTTGAGCATGAAAAAACTAGTTTTTTTTTTCTAGTTTTCTTTGCTTTGCTTTCCAATCAGGCAAAGAATGTGCCTAATAAGACAGATCTTCTATCTGTATTGCTCTCTGAGAAATACCGTCATTGTGGGATGTCTGTTGCCAACTTGTAGGACATTGTAAGAGCTGTTCATAGTTGTTGCTAATAAAATGAACTCTATGATCTTCTAAGCAGCAGGAGTCTCTGTAGAATTTTTCATAATATTTGTCGTTGTGGGGTAAAGAGCCAAAGTGTGCAACTGAGGGAGACAAATGAAGGGAAAGACAAATTTAATCTCCCTCCCCTCAATGAAAGCTTTATGTTGTTGTCAAAAAAAGTGACACTTTTGAACTAGCATAACTGGGATAGTGAAAATTTGTGAGAAGAAGCTTTTGCTGAGCACTGTCCCAGATACAGAGCTTAACAGTCTTCTAGCGTAAATGGGTAAAGTTCCATTCTTGGAGACTCTGCTGATTTACACTAGTTATATTTTTCTTCATGGTGCTTCCAAGTATATTTCCTGACTAAAAACTTTCACTGTGTTCTCTTACTCTTTGACTTTCTGATAGATGCATATTTGCTTAGCAGTACTTACTAAAAAATTGAGCATTTAAATTTTAAACACTTTTATCATATTTTCTGCTTTTTTTTTGGTCTAATTCACCTTCTGTGCTCCTTGCTAAGCTGAAAGGATGCATTACAGTAATGGCAGAGCCTCTAGTGAAAGCATCAGACTTCACATATATTAACAAATATATGTGATATACCCAGAAGTTCCTGCTCTCAAAAGAGTGCTGGCACCTGTAGCTACAACAGCAACAAGACAGCTTCACAGCTGCTTGAGGAAAATTATCATCCTGTGTCACCACTTGGATAAATCATGAAGTCCTCCTCAAAGCATCTTTGTTTCTAATCAGTCACATGGCACACAGGCACATCCTTTAGCTCAGCCTCACGTTTGCCATAACTGGACTAAGGCAAGCAGAAATCTACCTAGGTGTTTTGCACGGACAGTGCTGTGTGTGTAGGTCCAAACCAAACTGTAACTTTACATGATAGCCTCTGCAGTAAGGATGTGACTGAATTATTTAGGAAGAACTGTGACCATCTCAGGAGCGACTGAGAGCTGGTGAGGCTGGAGGCTTGCCTGGAATGACTGATGAGCTGTCTGCAGTGCCTTTCAGAAAAATAACTTTGATATAAGGAACAGCTTAGGCTGTTGAAACTGATTTTCCTAGATTTCTCCAAGGGGGAATTACTGACTTAATCACTTGACTGGCTTGTGTATCTGATCACTGATTCATATGATGAAGGCCTTAATTAAGACTAAGGCATATCAATACATTCTATATACATGCTGTGGTCGCTTTCTTTTTTGGGGGGATCTTGTAGCTTCAGGAAGTGAAGTGGCAAGCAATAAATAACTCTGTTCTGTACAATTGTTGATGAGTTGTGTGGGCCAGTCAAAAGGCAAGAAATACTTTTGAGAAGGCTTTGGATGAATCTCTGGTTATCATCCAATTGAGAAACAAGTCACCTCCTTGGTAACATTTTAATTTTTTCAGTTGCTCATTGTTGCTTGTGGTTCTGGTTCCCAGGAGTTGTCTCCATAAATCTCCATGTGAAAGCAATGACTTCTATTCTGATTTATGGAAGATGTGTTTAGATATGGAAAAAAAACTATAATAATAATAATAATAAAATACCAGAGTAGGCCAGTTTGCAAAAGTCATCATAATGCAGTCAGGATTAAATATTTACAGGTCTAGCTACACTTCAGATCCTGCTGGCTTGCATTTCTTTCTATGTATTGGCCTGGAAGATTCTTTGCTCATTTATTCTGTGAGTAGCCTTAGGATTGTTGATCCATAATTTCTTAAAAGCAGATATTTTGATCAGTACATTGTATACCTCCAGAAATGTCTATTTTGAACTCAGGAGAATCCTCACATAGAAAGTCTTGTCATTCCTGTATTTGTCTGCAAATCTATGTGTTCATAGTAATGCAGCATGAAGTCATTTGTCCTGACTCCTGACTGCTTAGTCAGCCTCCTACCATGAAACAACAGGCTACGAAAGGATACAGAAAACCTGTCTGTAGCAGATATCATGCTACTGCTTTCATTTCACCAGTAAGGAATGTGCCACACCTTTGTATAGTTTATTGCCTGTTCGACAGAGTTGACTGCTGATCATAGGGTTCTTATGATTGTTAGAATGTTTTAACTAAAAAACTCCATTTTAACAAAACTTCATTTTGTGTACCAATTAAATACACATAAGGACATCTGTAGGGAAACTGTTACGTCACAGATTGAACTGGTGATTGAGCGCCTGGTGAAGGGGTGTGATTGGGCCAGGGAGCACTGGCACATTGTTTGCACCTGTGCTCCCCACCTGACAAGAAGGGGAGGACCCATGGTGGAGCCACCCTGGGCTGATATAAGGACCAGCCACTGAAAAGAAATCTTCTCTTAGATCTACCCTGCTATGTGGGAGTGCTGTGTAGCCAGAGAGCATCTTCACCAGTTGGGTGAGTTCAACTCTTCTTTTTCTATGTGCCTATAGGCTTACCTGTGAATACTTAGCCTGGTATTGCCGAGAACCTGTCAGGAGAAATTTTGCTTTTTCTGTGACCTGAACAACACCATATCAAGTAATCATGTCTTATCTGTGTTATATAATGACAAAGATAAGAAAAGTTGCTTCAACAGATTTAACAAGACTCACGGTTGACTAATGAAGCTGGGAGTACTCATATTATATGTCACTGCTGATCAAATCTGATGGGAACCCTAGTCTGTTGTGTCTGAAACTTAAGCTGTAGTACTGACCCACGGTAGTCATGACAGACTAATAGGTCTTGAAACAGAAGTTGGCACTAGTATGGTGACAAGCTCAATATGAAACTGAGTGTGATCTTTGGACAGCTGAGTCATGTATGTGTGTATTTTCCAATCGCTGCTGAAACAAAACTACCACCACCATAACAAAATGATAACAACCAAAGTAAAACTGCTAAACCCTCAAAGATTAGTGCTGCACTCAGTGAGAACGGTAGCACATTGCCTGTGCTCCATCTCTACATTCAATTCAAAATGACCTCACATGCAGCAGTATTTATGCCTTCTTAGTTTTTGGCTCCTGGAGTAGTCTTCTGCAGTTTATGGGAAGAACAGTGAGAAACACTGCTTTACTATCTATTGATTCAGCAAGACCTAAATCTCCACAACCATTCTATGGAATGGACATGGCTTGCCTTAACATGAACTCAGTCTCATCATGTCAAGACACTGCTGCAGTCCTATTTGAGGCTGTCATTGGATATGCATACTGTTGCAGTAGGCGTTTGCGGGGTATTGGGCTGTGATGTGATAGGACCTCCCCTGCTCTGTGATAAGGGACTGACGCGCGCTTGGAGGCGTAGATGTACTAGACATGAGTAAGTGCACATGGACGTAGTAACATAGATAAGCATGTAAAGTATATAAGTTGCTGTTTCACTTGCAATAAACGCCATCCTGCCTAACATCACATTGGTGTGCATGTGGTGAGATGGTCGGGTCACAGTGGGGACAGCGTGAACCCTGGCCGGGCCATAGGAACGTGAGGAAGTAGGGGTTTCCTACATGGAAACAGCATACACTATGCATTGAAGTGTTGGAGTCACTGCATTCTACAATGTACTTCAAGACATACCAGCTTAGATGTTGTAGCACTGGATCTATGGGAAAGCAGAATTCTTTTGAGGTAAATCATCTTTTTCAGTGTTTAAATCTTTACATTATAATCTACAGCACAAAATGTATATAAGCAGTCTGCTTCTTTCTAAAGCAAACAGAAATGACTCTATTTCTTGCTTTGGTGTAAAACAGCATGATCCCATTGGCAAGACTGCAGTGACCTAAGGTTCTGCTTTTCAAGGTGAAGATAAACACCTTCAATCTTCATTGCACTCAGATTCCTTTCAACTGTTAACTGCTAACTTCATCACCAATGCTGTGTTCATGGACAGTGGAAAGCAATGTGCACCACTAGCAGGGGACTCATTTCACTTATCTTAAAAAATCTGCTTAATTCAGGTTGTGGTAATTAGGTTCACTAGATGTACATCAACTCTAAGAAGAACTTAAAGTGATTAGTTCCTATGTAAATGTCCACACTGCATCTTTCAGTCATCAGGCAAATTATATTTCCAATAGATGGGATAGCTGATTCCATGTTAAAGTATAAAGATAACAGAGGAAGCTTAGAGAACCCATACACAAAGATATAAAGATAAGAACCTTATGAGTTTCAACAAGAGCAAGAGTAGAGTCTTGAACCTGGAGAAGAATAACTGCATGCATCGGTACAGGCCGGGGCACGGTCTGCTGGAGAGGAGCTCTGTAGTGAAGGACCTGGGTGTCTTGGTAGACAAACGGTTGACTGTGAGCCAGCAATGTTCCCCTGTGGTCAAGAAGGCAAATGGTATCTTGGGGTGCATGAAAAAGAGCATTGCCAGCAGGTTGAGGGAGGTGAACCTCTATTCTGTCAAATGTGGAGTACTGTGTGCAGTTCTGGGTTCCCCAGTTCAAGAAAAACAGGGAACTTCTAGAGGGTCTGTTGGAGGACTGCTGAGATGATTAAGGGCCTGGAGCATCTCTTATACAAGGAAAGGCTGAAAGAACTGGGGCTGTTCAGCCTCAAGAAGAAAAGGCTGAGGGGGGGATCTCATTACTATTTATAAATATCTAAAGTGCAGGAGTCAAGTAGACAGGGGCAGTTCAGTGGGCTGCAGGAACTGGAACACAGGAAGTTCCGTACTAAAACTTCACTGTCACAGTGATGGAGCACTGGAACAGAATGCCCAAAGAGGTTGTGGAGTCACCTTTTCTGGAGATACTCAAGGCCTGCCTGTGTGACCTATTGTAGGGAACCTGATTAAACAGAAGGCTGGACTTGATCTCTAGAGGTCTCTTCCAACTCCTACAGTTCTGTGGCTGACTGTGATTCTGTGAATGTCTGTTAAATTTTTTTGCACTCCTGTTTCTGACTTCATTTTCATAGTGTTGTCATTACCACTCTTCCTCAAAATAACATGGGAGATATCTTAAGATATCAGGGTATACAGAACAGAACATATCTCCCAATAACAGATCTCGGTTCTGATTGTCTCAGCCTGTGCTCTTCTTAGGCACCACCATTTGCAGCAAGTGCTCATCATGCTTGAAAAGCAGACTGTTTCTGCTTAGGTGTCCTCTGTGCATTTCAAATGCTCTTATCTCGTGCTTATTATGGTACTAGGCTTTGTATTGGAACATAAAGTGAAGCAAACACTCCATTTTTACTAACTCAGAAAAAGGATTCTCTCCCTTCCCTGCTATTTGCAAATCAGTTTTTAGAAGAAAAGGCTAGCACATTTTTTTGGCATAGAAACACTTCCAGATTGTATCTTATTTCTTTGAACAAGGCAGGCTAAGATAATGATATAAGGATAATTATATTTTATGCTTCAAACTGAAGTTGATAGGGGAGAAATATCCTTCTGTGTGCGGCTTTTACATCATGTTTAAAACATCTGTTATTAGCTGAAGCCAGAAAGACCTATGCATGTATTTAAAGAATGGAGGATACAACCAGCATTAAAGAAAAACAAAAAATCTTTTTCCGCCTTATATTAGATAATCTGATATTTTAGTTGCATCAGCAGTGAAGATGCCTGTGACGTGTCCCATGCTAATCTGTTTTATCAGAGTACCAGAAAGTTAATTCACCAGATGCTTCAAAACATGCTGTTTCCAGAAAAAGATAACAGCACATTTATCTTTTGTCCAAAAAAACTCATCAGTAGTCCCAAAAAAATGTTTTCAAGAAAATTTCCAAGAAAACAGAGAAAGTTTCACTAGGAACATCTTCACCAAAAAGGGAAGGAAGTGCAATGCTTTAGACTGGTACTCCAATCATTCAGTTCTATGTGAGGGGGAAAAGATTAGGATTAGAAATCACAGAGTGGCCTGGGTTGAAAAGCACCACAACGATCATCTAGTTTCAACCCCCTGCTATGTACAGGGTCGCCAACCACCAGACCAGGCTGCCCAGAACCACATCCAGCCTGGCCTTGAATGCCTCCAGGGATGGGGCATCCACAGCCTCCTTGGGCAACCTGTTCCAGTGCTTCACCACCCTCTGTGAAAACCTTCCTCCTAATATCTAACATAAACCTCCCGTCTCAGTTTAAGACCATTCCTCCTTGTCCTATTGTTATCCACCCTCTTAAACAGTCATTAGAAATTGAGAGACTGTTGGCTGATAAGATTCATCATAGAGGGAGGCTGTGGTTGGACTATCTATTGTGTATCTATTGTGGCAACATCTTTCTCTGAATCCTCTCGCTGTTTCGGAAGCTGAATAACGATATAGTGGAGGTTACTTCGAAATAAGTTATGAGACATATAGTTGCACAGACTGCCCGTCTTTTAGGTTTTGCACAACATAAAGACATACCAAGTAAATGTGGAAAGTGTAGTGAAAGAACATGAATATGGAGGCTATTTGGAACTTTGGAAGAAGCCTTCCTCTTAATGCCTTTTCTTCTGGGAATGCAGCTGGTACAAGAGCATGCAATTGTAACTGTAAAGACTTTGTTGGCATCCAGCCATCTCATTGGACATGAAGCTGCAGAATTGCTGTGTGATGACTGGCAGGACAAGACTAGCACAATGCTGGTGGATTAAATGAAAGCCATCTTTTGGAAATGAAATGGTGGATGGCAATCTGTTGTGCTGCACCTGAAATGTCTGAGACAAATCCTTTCATTTTTATCTTGTTTCACTTAGAATACTCTTGGCACAGATCCTTTCATGAGAGGGAACCAAAGCAACCTTGAAAATCTTATGTTAACAAATGAATTCCTCTGGAAGAAGGTGCTTCCTTCCTTTGTTGCTTTCCTTCACTTTCCAGAATAGATTCTGAAAAGCTCCAGAGATTGTTTTCTTTCTTGTCCAGTCCAACTATTAACCATGCAAGTGCTTGGATAATTTATCTTATTCTTTCCCATTGCTGAATATTTTGTTTTTTATACTTTATGTATGAATGACAAGTTCCTAAAGGAAACTGTACTAAATAAATAGCTTGCAGGTTAGTAGCAGGTTTTAGATTTGTAAAAAGAGATGGAATACCAGACACTGGTAAGGAAAAGTCTCTCACATTGTGTTAGAGTAAGAAGATGCTCGAGAACATAAAGCTGTGCCATGTGGAAAGGAGCTGCGGTAGTGTCTGAGCAGATATTTGACAAAGCAATTTGCTGATATGTCTCTTGCTGTACACAACACAAAGCTGAGCACTGGCAGAAACTCCTTGATTTAAACGATGCTCTTAGGTCCTCCTTCCCTCTGTGACTGGCACTGTGACAGCAGCTGACTGATTAGCTAACTTGCTGATAATCATTTTTAGTTTTGAAATTACAGGGCTGTGTTTTTGGTTTAGTTTTCCTTTGTTGTTATAGAACAGGCTAATAAGTCGTGGAGAAACCGTATAGGCTTGACCCCCCCA